GAACTTCAGATCACTTCGGTACTTCTTAGGCATGGAAGTTGGTCGATCATCTCGGGCATTTGCTTGTCTCAATGCAAATATGTGTGCTTGATCTATTGACAGAGAATAACATTCTCCTTTTGCAAACCCATGAAAGTCTCAATGAATCTCAATGAGAAACTATCTGATGTTCCCGATAGGCTTCCGGTAAACAAGACTTACTACCAACGACTTGTGGGGAAACTCATTTATCTTACCTATATTCGTCTCGACATTTGCTATGCAGTAGGTATTGGGAGTCAATTCATGTATAATTCTTATGAGCACCATCTCTGAGCTGTCCATAGGATCCTTCACTACTTAAAGGGCAAACTAGGCCCAGGTTTTTTTTTTGTGCTACACTTTATTTTATTGTTGTTTATACATATGCGGATTAGATTGGATCTGTCCATGATAGGGCGATCAACCTTAGGATATTGCTCATTCATGTGGGAAAATTTTGTTGTGGAAAAGCAAAAATAGTGTTTTGGCCTAGAGGCGTGCTGAAGCCAAGTTTCACTCCATGTCCTTTGGTATTTGTGAAGCTCTCTGGTTATGCATCATGCTCCGTGAATTGCATATGCTATTCTCTGTTCCTCTCCAGTTGTTCTGTGATAATAAAACAGTCATTACTATTGTCCATAATCCGGTCTAGCATGATCAAATCAAGCATGTGGAGATTAACAAACTTTCATTAAGGAGAAGCTTGATTCAAGGAAGATTTGTATTCCATTTATCCCATCTAATGGTCAATTAACATATATCCTTACCAAGAATCTTCATAGGTCATTGTTTGACGACTTCAAATCCAAGTTAAACACAATGGACATCTATGTTTCAACTTGAGGTGAAGTATTGAAATTATTTGCCTAATTTTTAGGCTAATTATTACTGCAGTTATTATTAGTTTTTATTTGATTTTATTTGCTTCATTTATTTCCATTTCCATAGTTATGTATTTTCTTGTTAGTCTATTTATGGATTTGTGTTTCTTTTATTTGGATCATGTACTATGTATTTATACTTCTCTTCCCGTCAGTAAATTATGCGGCACTATTCTCTAAATTTAACAAAAATCCTACACGAACATTTGTTTCTTCTAAATATTTTTTGGTATTTATTGAGTTGTTACTCATTACTTATTTGTTCTCTCCAGTTCGAGTTAGTTACTTCTGAACGATTTTTCTCTTTGCATTTTCTTGTTTGCTAGGTCTTTTTAACATTTCTTATTGGTTCTTGTTATGAGTGTTAGCAACTTCTTGCTCCCATTCATTTTTTCAACATCTCATCTTAAGACTCTCCTGCTTTATGTAATTATGTATCTTTGTCTCCAGTTAGTTACTCTGTCTCATTAGTATGATTTTAAGTATTTTTTCAGGCTTCATTTCTTTTTTTCATATTTTTATTATCATTTTGGGCTTTATGATTTTGAAAATTATTGTTGTTGAACCTATAATAACTTTTGTTGAAAAATATCACCTCATGTGATTTAAGTTTGATTAATTAAATTGTGCATTGCATTGTGCTTAATGCTGTGAAAATAATGATAGGAGGGTTTCCATTTGGTGTCTTTACTGTTCATTTGTTTAAGTGGTAGAGAATTGAGATAATAGTTTTTCATTTTTATCCCATGAAGAAATGAAAAACATATATTAAAATTAAGTTTGGTGGAAGCATTAATTTGGAAAGATGGTTTGTTTCTAGTAGAGTAGCAGTGAAGCCATAGGTGAATACCAAAATAAAAAAGGGTGGAGATTAGGCAATCATAGGACTAGCACATGGAAAAGAGAGTTGCTTTAGGTGGATCAAGGGTTTTGAAGATGTACAACTGGGCAGCGCCATAGGGTTAGGAAATGAACATGAGCTAAATGGTTTTGTGATGAATGGGCGGTGAGGTGTTGTGGTAGACATGTTCATTAGGGACCGAGCTAGTTGTTTAAGGACTAGGGCTTGAATATGACAGATGAAAGCAATGTGCTAGTGAGTGATGTGAGCAAAAGAGACTTGGTGGACTAGTCATAAGGGGCATTAGAGGGTGAGGAGTAATGTGAGCGTGAGAATAAATGCACAAGGAATGATAAAAGAAGAGATCAACTAGGGAAGGGAGATGGATGAGATGTTAGCTAGAGTAGAACCCTAACTCTCTAAGAACATGTTGTGAGGAAGAATTCTTTCATCTGTATCTTTTTGTTTCAACACTCCTATTTATGAAAAAATATGAAGAAAATAATGAGAACATTGTTATGCCGCCAAGCTGTGAACCGGTCCTAAAGGGACTGGTCCAACATCCCCCAACTGGCCAGGCGGGCCGGACGCGTCCACGAGAAGAAGCGGAGCGGGCGACAGAAAAAGGAAAGGAGCGAGGTGCTGCGACAGAAAAAGGAAGAGAGTAAATGAGATCCACGAGAGCCTTAATCACATATTCAAGGAAGAGAAATTAAAGGAGTTTGGAGAGAAGGCTTGGAAGGGAAGTTTTTGAATTACCGAGAGAGAATACTATTAAAGGGAGTAACGTAGGGATTATTTTTTTATGCATGTTTGTTGTTGGCTGTTGTGTTCTTTCTTTTGGTGGTATTCTTAGCAACGTCTATGGTTGTGTGAGAGCCGATCTACTTCTAGTAAAGTAGATACCATTGTATCTTGCTGCTTTCATTTATTTTCATAAGAGCAGCCCTTATTCGTGTTTTTTCCACCTATCTATTGCGTTTTCATCGTGTTTTATCACTGATTTTAGTGCCGAGGCGTATCGAACATCCTCAAATATGAGAATACTGTACAACCAAAAAAAAAACAAACCTTACTAATGCAGAACGTTCCTATCATAACCCCTTTAACTTAGTACTTCAAATGTTAACTTATATGCATGCAAATGCATGCTAAAATATTCTAAGATTACTTCTGCATGAATAACCATTTAAAATATAAAAAAAAATTAATTACAGCCAATATTATTAGCTAATAAAGAAAATTTAGAAACCACCGAAACCATAAAATATGGCAGTTTGTGCTACCGTGGAAGTTTTGATGTGTCTTTATTGTATTTGTATTTTTACCATACCAATATTATTTGTTGACAATTTTCTATATTGGTTTTTACATATAGAGGTTCCTAAATAATAGTTATTACATGTAAAAGTTCCAAAAAATTAAAATTACAGGTGAAGGTCTTCAGTTACGGGGCACATGCATTTTAATTTTTTGGGGCCTTTACATGCACTAACTATTGTTTAGGGACCTCTATATGTAAAAACCCCTTCTTTATATGGTTTTTTGTTCTTTCTGTCTTTTCTTTCATTAACTGCATAAATATACTAAATCTCATCTCTGTTTGCTAAAACTCTTTTTTATTCATGCAAGAATTATACTTGGATTTTGAGTCGCCTATTATTTGATTTTAGAAGTATATATTAATGAACAACTGTACTGGTATGTCAGCATTTTTATTAATAATGAAAGAGATAAAAATATGAACTTTAGTGGGGTATGCATGGGGTAGGGTGTGTGGTGCTCCAATGTTACAGCAGCGAACTGTTATATTATGACTAGTTGATTTGTATTATGACTAGTTGATTTGTATTCGCTTACTTAGGTTAGAAGTTCATTTATACTGCTTTTCATCTAACATTATAGCTTGTATTTTTGCACAATGTGTTGGGATACATCATCTCTACTTTGTGCTCTTCTTATGCACTTGCATTTTCTAATCAGCTTTTTAGTCAATTAAGTTGGAGAGAGGAGATATAGACTTGTGATAGATGAACTTTAGTTAAAGTTCGGATAGATGAACTTTAGTTTCAGACAAATATCAGAATAAAAAGGATGAAAAAAGGATCAAAATCTTACTATTTGTTGATGGCCATTTTAGTCCCACACTGTATAAAAGATTTGATTTTGCCTCCGGGTCAATAACTTTGCCATTAAAAGTAATAAAAATTGAATATACAGTTAAAGAGTGGTGTTAAAAAAAGAATGTTCTACAAATTTTCATCTTTTTTTCTTGAATTTTGTTATGAAACCTAATTTCCCAGTTACTTTTTTATGATATTTATAGGTAACATTCCTAATGTTTTTTTAATTAATCCTGTTTGTTTAACGGTTCTCTTTATTTTTGATGTTATTATACTTCTCTGAGTTCTGAAGTAAGAATGAAAACAAATCGATCTATATTAAATAGTGATCACCCATATAATTATTCACTCGATTAATATTATCAGACTTTACATGCTATGATTTCGATAAATTTCAAAGTTTTCCGAGCAGTAAGAGAGCGTCTTTCCATTGTTTCAGTGAAGTTATTGGACTGGGGAGTAGATGGAGATCCAACTGATACTGTAACTGCTGCTCTTCGTTCATCTTTCCGGCAAGAAGTTGCTGTGTGGCATAAACTTGACAACTTAAATGTGACAAAGGTAACTTTTTGTTTAGTTTTATACCTTCTATATATTTTGCTTGGTTTAATATCCCTTTTTTTTACTATTTTCATACATACCAGTCAGTTATTATGTATTTATATATGTAACGCCTAAACTTTAACTTTTGCATAATGACGCCTTACCCATGCATGGAAAGGTGTATTTCACTTTTTAGAAGTTAAAATAATGACATTTTAGATGTGATAAGAAAGATTTGGGTGGTATAAATGTAAAAAAATAAAATTTAGATGTTGGATATGTAAGCACGTACGTAAGAATTGTGTTTAATGTATGTAAATGCCCCAAAAAAGAATTGATTGATCTCAAAATTTGAACTTGCTTGAGATTCTAGCTCAGCCACAAATCGTTGGGACATGGTTCTTATCATTTTTTAGAATTGCAAATGTTTTCATTAAGCTTCATTCTTTGATTTATAATTTGACACATTTTGTCTTTACATCATTTTTCATCACAGTTTATTGGAGCATCAATGGGAATCACAGACCTGAAAATCCCAAGCTGTAACTCGCTTCCGGCACGAGCATGCTGTGTTGTCGTGGAATACGTTCCTGGAGGCACATTGAAACAATATCTCATCAAACACAGTCGAAGAAAACTTCCTTTCAAGGTTGTGATTGAGCTCGCTTTGGATCTTGCTAATGGGTGAGAATTCTGGTTGCACCTAATATTTCATTTTTTTTTGGGCATTTACATACATACGACATAATTCTTATATATTTACATATCTAACACCTAAATATTTATAATTACGTGCCTACCACTCAAATCCTTAACATCACGTAAATAAAAAAACCATCGTCACCATCCTTTTAAAAGTGAAATGCACCTATTCACAACAAGATGTTATAACTGTAGATGTAAAAATTCGGGTGCTAGACATCTAAATACATAAGAATTATGTGGTTTGTATGTAAATGTCCCTTCATATTTATCCCTTCATTTTTACTGAAAATTTTATTTTATTGTTCATTTTTGTTAATAATGTCTTTCAGCCTGAGTTATCTTCACTCAAAAAAGATCGTTCATCGAGATGTCAAAACTGAGAACATGTTGCTGACTGCAAATAGAGCTGTTAAGATTGCCGACTTCGGTGTTGCTCGTGTCGAAGCTCAGAATCCCAAAGACATGACTGGTGAAACTGGGACTCTTCAATACATGGCTCCAGAGGTGATCTTTCTCATGAGACATGCTTCATAAAACTATTACGTTATTATGGTAAAATTGTGTTATGGCATTTACATACATACCGCCCAATTCCTATCTATTTACATATGGAAAACCTAAACTCTACTTTTATATTTATACCATCCAAATATTTCATATCATATCAAAAATATCATCTTTTAAAAAAAAAGAATGTGAAATACGCCTTTTCATTCACAGGTAAGGTGGCTTATATGTAAAAATAGAAGTTTAGGTGTTAAATATGTAAATACATAGGAATTAAGTGATACGCATGTAAATCTAGTGATTGTGTTATTAGTATCAAGCTGAAATATGTTATTTTTGATTTGAAAATCCTTTTTTTTTTTCATTGGTTTATTGATAGAAAGCTTTAAAATTTTGTAGGTTCTTGAAGGAAAGCCTTACAATAGAAAGTGCGATGTCTACAGCTTTGGCATTTGCTTGTGGGAGATATACGCTTGTGATATGCCATACTATAAGCTTACTTTCACAGAAGTCTCTTATGCTGTCGTTCACCAGGTAATTTTTTTTATTAGTTTTTAAAAATATTTTATCCTTGTTGATTCATATAGGTTATTTATATGATGAAGATGCAACTCATCATATATTTCTTTCTTGTGAAAAAAAAAAGTTTAGGCAACAATTAAGTCAGTAATAACCAAATATGTGAAGATCAAAATGGATGGATGGTAAAACTAAGAATGATAGTATAAAATAATTTTGCTATCCAATATAAAGCAATATTTGCAATAATATGGTAGAGTAGCTAAAATAAATGTAAAATGTGAGACTATAAAATTACTGTCAAAGACATTGGAAGAAGTATTAGACAAAGTGTAACTTGGTTGGAAGTTGTGGAAGAAAGTGTTGCAAAGAATGTGATAAACCAAACATTCGATGCACGATAAAGCGAATGCAAATCTAAACAAAAGATTAAATTAGCTGACTCTGATTCATTGAGATAAGGCTAATGACATTGATGATATAATGTCAAATCCATTCACTTAATTTTTGTTACTCATGTAACTAACCACCGATAACAAAGGATCTAAAGGTTCCAATTTTTGTTATTTGAATGGATTTTTTCACTTGTCATTTTAGAAGTTATGTATTGCAGCGATGAGAATGCTTAGGTGGATGAGTTGCTTGACACTTAAGAGATAAAATGTAAAACGAATCTATCCGTGAAGGGTTGGTGTAGCTCCAATGGTAGATAAGATTAGCGAGAGCCGGCTTAGATGGTTTGGTCACATTAAACGTTGACCATCTGATGATCCAGTCAGGAGAGCAGATGTTTTAGATTCCACTTATGTCAAGAAAGACAGAGGTAGACCTAAAAAGACTTGGGCATATTATATAAATGAAAATCTTAATGTATTAGAATTAAATGAAAATTTGACACTCAATAGGACACAATGAAAAAAAAGGATTCAAGTAGCTGACCCCACTTAGTGGGATAAAGGATTCTTCTTGTTGTTTTTATTGTTGTGATTAATCAATAGTAGTATTAATACATCCAAAATTCATTTGAATTCAAGGACTTCTAAGTGCGCTAAAAATATGAGCTATGATTTATCTTAAGACTATTCCATTTTCATGGTAATATCTAATAAAATTGTTTTATAACATTTGTCTACAAAATCTTGATTTTTTTTTTATTAAGCATATGAATTTGAAGTGAAGTTAAATAATCCTTCATGACAACTCTGACAGAACTTGCGACCGAAAATACCATGGTGTTGCCCAAACTCATTGGGAAATATTATGAAGAAATGTTGGGAGACAAACCCGGACAAAAGACCGGAGATGGATGAGATTGTCAAGCTTTTGGAGGCAATCGATACAAGTAAAGGAGGCGGCATGATACCCGAAGACCAACTACAAGGTTGTTTTTGCTTTTCGACTCGTGGTCCTTGATTCTATTTAATATCAGGACTTCCATATTTTACTTTTATAACATTGGTTTCATAAACCTATGCATGAGTTTTATAACATAGGTTGTATTTATTTTTTAAACAATTGTTGAGAAATAAAAAAAAAATTTGTCTTATGCATGTAAATGCCTCTAATTTTGTCAAAGAATATAGATTGATTATGGTTGATTTGTTGGAGGTTATATTTTTTTTAGATTATCATATGGATTTTATTGTTATTGATACTATGCAAAGTCAATATAAATAAGACTAAAATTTGAGTTTGATGGCATTAAAGTATGGTTAATTGAAGACTAACATTGTAAATTTTCTATCATTATAAGAATATATGTGAGGATAAGAAGGAAGTTTACATACATGTCTCTTAATTTCTACATATTTATATATTATAACCTAAACTTCAGTTTTTAAATGTCACCTTACCCATGTATGGAGGGTGTAGTTCGCTTTTTAAAAATTAGAATATTGATATTTTTTGATATGATATGAAATATTTGGGTGATATAAATGTAAAAAATTGAGATTAAGGTCTTAGATATGCAAATACATAAGAATTTGGTTGTATGTATGTAACTGCCCCTAAAATTATTTGAGTAATCTTAGATGGTAAAACTCATAAATTATTTGACATAATAGATAGACTATTCATTTGGATTTTATTTTGTAATGCTATATTTATGGCACAATTAACTTCAAATTTTTCAAAATTTAACATTTTGCTACTTGCCAAATTGTAGATTAAGATATGTTTCAACCATTGAGAATCTCACTATATAAAAATAATACAATAAAATTACCAAAAAAAAAAAAAACTCTAGACATATGAAGCATTTTATTCATCTTTTCCCTCACACATATATTGTAGGGCTAATCTAACATCATCAATAAAAAAGCTCACTCTATGTAAAGTTAAATTATGTTGTTATTAAATGTAATTGTAAGATTAAGAAATTCACATTAATTTATAACCTAATAGAACTAGATGCTTGAAGAGCTCATTTTGATGAATATTTATCCCTTAATTATGCTTGATGTAAAAATGTATAGCTTGTGATGATTTTTTGTTGAAAGTACTACAAATTTTTTTTATAGTTTTTAAATCCTAAGAAATAAAGCTATATGTGATTTTTCCACAAAAAGCTTTTTTAATTTGAGTACTCCTATATCATTATGCTAATGAGCACTTATCACATTATAAATATGCATATTAAGGCCTTACATTTGCATGCTTGATGTATGATTAAACAATTATGAAGTTTAGCATCCAGTAGTTTTTCATAGTATAATTAAAATGAACGATATTGCTTTTTCTATTAGATGATGCATGACTAAAAAATTTACCAACTTTAAAGCATGTATTTATCATTAGAAAATAATAGCAAGGAGTTGGACATTTCAAGGGTTGGATATTGGAAGATGTCAAACAATGCTAGCTGGCCAACTATCGCTCAATATTGAGAGTAGATGAGCGACAATGAAATATAAAGATTGATAATTGGGAGTTGGATATTAGTGATTGTCATAATTAGGATGTTGATGAATGTTGATCAACTACGAACATCTGACGATGTTATCCATTTAATGTGCATCATTATGGGTTGAAGTGCATCAACAAAATGGTGATGTCACAGATTAAGAGTTAGATGTTGATAAATGTTGGAAGAGACATTGGTGAATATTAGTTGAATAAAGAAGTTAAATGACATTGGTCATAGATGATCAATATGATGGGCTAACTGATGTTGGAGAGGGTAATATCAGATGTTCATAATTATGTTACTATGGACATTGTGAGTTAGTCATTGATCAATTGTGAATATTGGGAGTTTTCTAATGGACATTTGAGATCATGGACCAACGATCATCGAGAATGAACGACAACTGGTTGCAAGAGCTAGATGTCAGTGGACTCTGGTCTATTTTGGAAGGTACATGTCATTGGTTGGTGAATGGTAATTGAAAAAAAAAAAGGAATAATGGCATGCATCAATAGTTACATTGATAAATATTGGACATTGAATGTTTGATAACTTTGATTGGTTATAAATTTCTAACAATGTTGGTTTGTGGATGTCCAATTTTATGGGCTAACAATAATGATGATCATTGAGGGTTCTAATGTTGTTTGATGTTGGAAATTGAGCATTAGCAAATCAATTTAGTATGCAGGACATCGATCATGGAGTAAGTGATAATGATTATCGATGTCAGTCAATTTGAAATTACTTTGATAGACAAAGGTTATTAATTGATTTGTATCACATGATAAGCAATGATGGGCATTAATAAATCAATAATTGATTTTGGATTATGAATGATGGCATACATCACTCTAAATTTGTTTATAAATTTAATATATATATATATATATATATACTTTAGAATGCAAAAATATGATAAAAATTAATGTTTATTTATAGATTTTTTTAGAGGTAATACCATTCTTATCCAAAATTATCCTATACACTTCATTTGATTATCTGAATAAATATCCTTTTATCTTTTCAATTATAAGCTTACAAAATTTTGAGATCATTAGAGGGCTTAAGCAACCTTATAAATTTGTAAAGATGTTTCTACTTCCTTGATGTAGGCCCATTTAGAATTTTTAGCTTCCTTCTGTTTGTATATTGCTTCCTTCTGTTGAGACGAGATATCTTGTTTGTATATTGCTAAAGACATCACATGACCTTAAATTATTCCAAGATTTTTCTGAACTTATAATTAGTGCACTAAGATCCATTTTTTGCTAAGACAACTATAAATTTATTAACTACTCTATCCTTCTCCATCTTTCCATTTATTAAAATTCTAAATAAGAACTTTACCATGCCAAAATGTGAGCATTTTCTCACCAAAACTGTGAATATATAGTTAACTCAACTATATATTTTAATATTTCCAAGGCATCAAAGCACATGAGAATCACATGCATTTTTCTTCCTCTTCAACCAAAGTATTTTTAGCCATAACCTCCACTAGAATGAGTTTAAATTACTCTCTTGGAAAAGGTTAAATTATCTCTAGAATGAAGATAAACAACTGACCAATCTAGATCCTTTATTTATCTCTCTTATGAGTTAAGAAAATTATTTATGTAAATATACATAAATATTTTACTACACCAAAGTTTAAGAAAAGTGTTAAATTTCTTCCCTCGAAAATAAAGCGAAAAGGATTTACCAAAATAAGAATAAACTATAACTCTTAGCTAGATCATTTGTACCCACACAAAGAGATTGACATGATTAACTATTTATAAGCTTTCTAATGTCCTGAAATCAAGATATCCAATCCATAAGTTTCTTTTGGATGAGATTAAATTGTCACTCAATTTGAGATGATGTTAAATCATTACCTCTCCAAATTGAGAATTAACTACAACCCCTAAAGACTCCATCGAATCATATGCTAAGAAATAACAAAATCTTTTAAACATTTTATTCCTACATTTCATCGAGATGATTGTGAATAATGTTACTCGCTTATCGATTCAATTATCAATCTTCTTGTAAATAGATCCAAAGAGGATGTTCACGATATAGCCTTTCTCAAAGAAAAGATGATTGTCAATATTTTTAAAAAGCTACAACCTAAATAAGAGATTCATTAAGTAAGTCATCATATCAATCATAAGTGGTGATAAAAGTCAAGCTCAAATTTATAATCAATCCACGATAATTGGTAGTATATATATTACTAATCTTTAGATAAGATCAACTTCATAAAATATTTAAACCTTCAACTTGCTAGCCACCCTAATAATCAGGGATTGGTTGTGGTCAAGACCAATTTCCCTTCCAAATCATCAAAATGATCTATACCCTCGAAAAGAATGTTCTTTAGTCAATAATATTTTAGCTAATTTTATAAAGGGATTAAAGAACTATGATCTTAAGTTTATGATTAGATGGTGATAAAAGATGGACCAAACTAGCCAAAAATAATAAGTTTATTGTTGCAATCATCTCTTCAAATGAAAGTTAAATATGATCAAACGATACGTGAAAGCTTCATGAAGTTTATCTATAAAGCTAGAGTCTACCATCTCCTTGTATGATGAAGCTCCAAAAGAAATAAGAAAGTTACTCTATGGGGCATAAATCCTGTCTTGGTAAAACTAACTAGATAGCTTTCAACCTCAATACTTACCCAAAGCAGCACTATAAATTAGGGGAATTTACATTCATTTTTTTTAAATAATAAAAGGAATGGCCAAAGACTATTATACGAGTCTCCAAGCATCTCTAATGTGTCTAATAATTCAAGTACCACCTCTTTAAGGCCAACTGTGCTAGAGGGGCTTCGAATCCTCGACTTAAGGAGTCTTATACCGTGGATGTCAACCAACATGTTGGGGTACACGGTACTCTGTGTGTGTTTATCCATAAATTTAATTTCAACCCACAAGTTTGTGTGTGTGAGTGTTTAAAGGAATAGCCAGCCCCCAACTATCTTTAATGTGTCTAACAATTCTAGTACCACCTTCTTAAGGCCAACTATGTAAGAGGGGATTCGAACCCCCGACCTGAGGAGTCTGATATCGTGGATGCCAACCAACAGGTCCGATTACACGACACAGGGAATTTACATAGATAGCACCTAGTTCTTACACATTATTTATCTCACACGCAAACTTTGAATTTTACACCTAAAAACACTTTTTTTCTATGTATGAAAGGTGGAAATAGTGTAGTCCACATTTTAATACATACGTTAGGGTACATATGGTATAAAAATCAAAGTATGGGTGCAAGATAAATAAATGCATAAGAATTAGGTGCTATGTATGTAAATTTCCATATCAATTTAATTTTCTTGGCAATTTACTCACAAATTACAAGACAAAATAAAAGTAAAGGCAACACTATATATTAATTACATAGGCCCAAAAAAAAAAAAAACATGAAGCAAATTGAAAAATATATGAATAAATTCTTATAAATTTTATTTTATTTTTAATTTTCGGTGATATACCCATATTTCTCTTCAATTTACATATCTAATACTCTTAAGTGTTTATTTTATTTTAATATAAAAATACTACAAAATTTAATTTAGCTAAAATGAAATATACATTTTCAGGCATATGTACTGATATCATTTCAATATTATATAGATTTATAGGGTTATTTCAGCAAATATAACAAATTAGTAAAGGGGCAATTACATAAATATAAAAATATATTTCCAAGATGTAGAAAATAGAATGAAACCACTTAAACCACGAATTAATTAGTCTCGGTTCATTTCATTATTAATTTATCACCATTCATTTTTTTATCAAGTTAGATGAAAATGTAATATAAATATTACCAAATAAAATTTCAAATTTGTAGCCCCTCAAATTTGAAAAAATAATACATCAGGACTCCGCACGGAGAGTTACGTGCCGAGTCCAACGAAATCATGTTATTCATATGTTATTGTGTTTTGGGAATATTCCTAGTGTTATAATTACACAATAACGTAACTCTACGTGCAGAGTCCTGATGTAATATTTTTTCCTCAAATTTCCTCTTTTTTTTTTCTTTTGCCTGTACTTCATTTGCCTTTTATACAAACACAAGAGAATATTCCCCGTGTTATTTAAGCGTTATTGTGTGTTATTCATATGTTATTGTGTTTTAGAAATATTTCTAGTGTTATAATTACATAATAACACATCAATAACACTTGAATAACATAAAATAACACCTGAATAACACGAGAGGAATATTTCCCGGTGTTACCGGACTGATTTTTTTTTCTCACCTTCACGTGTGGCGTGATTTCATTGGACTCCGCACACAACTCTACGTGTGGAGTCCTCATATAATATTTTTTCCTCAAATTTCCCTTTTTTCTTCTTCTTTTGCCTGTACTTCATTTGCCTTTTATACAAATTCAATTATCATTAAAAAAGTACATTAGTCACTTAAGGCTCATTTGAAATCAATTTTATTTTTTATTTTTAGTTATTAAATCATATTTACTTAGTAAAATTTTATATTTTATATTTTTTATTTCTAAAACAAAAAAAATTTTGGTGCTCTGAATATTTTAAAAAATAATCATACGTTAATCAAATATATTTTTGTTCCGAATCAAAACATAAACAAAACTAAACTAAAAAAAATAACATACATTGTTGAAATTAAAATTATATATATATAATATTTTTAGCATTTTTAATGTTTAAATATTATAATTTCATTTAATTAACACATAAATAATAGAGAATTACATACATAACACCCCATTCTTATGGATTTACGTCACAACTAAACTTTCATTTTTACAATGATTATGAATGGAAAAGATAGATTTGATTATTAAAAGATGATAATAAGTATAATTTTTCATATGATAACATAAAAATTTTACCAAATTAATTTGTATGATTATGTTAAACTTATTTCGGGCACGACATTTTACCCATGGATCCTTCCAAAACCAACTGCGCCAAAACACCACATGTTAGCTTCTACACCAATCCAGCCTCATGGCAGCCAACTCCATCTCCCCTTCTGCATCTCCCTCCTCTTCCCAAGACATACCCATCTTCTTCCATCACACTAAAACCGTCGTCCATCATCTCAAATCCAGCAGAAGCATCAAAGAAATCAAGCAAATCCACTGCCAAATCACTAAAATAGACCTCCTCCCCTTCCCCTCCTCCAACCTCATCTCCGCCTACTGCAACGCAGCCACAGCCCAAAGTCTAGACTACGCTCTCAAAACCTTCTTCCTCTTCAACGAAGAACATGAATCCAACCTCTTCCTCTGGAACTCACTAATCAGAGGATTCTCTTCTGCTGGTTATGTCTGCCAAGCCATTCAGCTTTTCATTCAGATGGTTGATGGAGGGATCATGCCTGACCGCTTCACCTTCCCTCCTCTCCTATCTGGGCTCACAAAGGCTTTAGCTTTTCGAGGAGGAGGATCGCTTCATGGGCTCCTGTTGAAGCTCGGAAGCCATGGAGGAGTGCAAGATGACATTTTTATACAGAACTCATTGATACATTTCTATGCAGAGCAGGGTCGGCTTGAATGCGCACACAAGGTGTTTGATTCTATGCATGAAAGAAATGTGGTTTCATGGACGAGCCTTATTGATGGGTATGCTCGTGGAGATGATCCAAGGAAGGCCGTGGATTTATTTTGGGATATGGTTGCCGAAGGTAGAATTGCTCCCAATTCGGTTTCTGCGGCTTGTGCCATCTCTTCTTGTGCAAGGTTGCAGGATTTAGAGAGTGGAAAGAGGGTTTTAGCCTATGCAGCTGAGTCAGGAATGGAGTTTAGTATTATTCTGGTGAACACTGTTGTTGATATGTACATGAAATGTGGAGCTGTGGAATTAGCAGAGAGGATATTTCATGAGTGTGCTGATAAAAACATTGTTCTTTGGAACACGATGCTGTCAAATTACTCTCATGGTGGAATGGCGCAGAAAGCTGTGGCATTATTTAATGAAATGTTGATCTCAGGAATGAAACCAGACCGGGTAACAGTTGTTACAGCCATTTCAGGATCAGCACAGCTTGTTGGGGAAGGTATGGCTGGGAGAAGATTTCATGGTTATGTATTGAGGAATGGCTTAGATGTGTGGCCTGATGTTAGCAATTCAATTATTGATCTATATATGAAGTGTCGGGAACTAGATTCAGCTTTCCGAGTGTTCGACCGAGTGAAACAGAAGACTGTGGAGTCCTGGAACAGAGTCATTCATGGATGTATCAGAAATAGTGATTGGACTTCTGCTTGGAAGTATTTTGAGGAGATGCCAGGAAGAGATCAGGTGTCTTGGAACACAATGATTGCTGCACTGGTGCAGGAAAGCCAGTTTGAAGAAGCCATCTCACTTTTCAGGGAGATGCAGAGTTCAGGAATGAGGCCTGACAGAGTGACAATGGTGAGTGTTGCTTCAGCTTGTGGTTATTTAGGGTCTCTTGATCTTGCTAAATGGACCTGCGCCTATATCATCAAAAAGATTAAAGTTTCCATTGACGTCAAGCTAAACACTGCATTGGTTGATATGTTTGCTAGGTGTGGTGATTCCAAAAGCTCTATGAAAGTATTTGACAGAATCCTGAACAAAGATGTTTCGGCATGGACAGCAGCAATAGGAGCAATGGCGGTTGAGGGAAATGGGAGAAAGGCGATAGAGCTTTTCTCCGAGATGATTAAAGATGGAGTTGAGCCGGATAGTGTGGTCTTTGTTCAAGCGCTGACAGCATGCAGCCATGGGGGCTTGGTTGAAGAGGGCTACATGTTCTTCCAGAGCATGAGGAAGGATTACGGATTTACACCACATATCGTTCATTATGGCTGTATGGTTGATCTTTTGGGGAGATCTGGACTAATAGATGAAGCTAGAGAACTCATTGAGAGCATGCCTATGGAGCCCAATGATGTGGTCTGGGGAGCATTATTGGCTGCTAGTTGTGTTCACCATGATTTTGAACAGGCGGAGTATGCAGCCAAGAAAGTTCTGGAATTGGCGCCAGATAGAAGTGGAATCCACGTGCTGCTCTCAAATTTATATGCTTCAGTAGGGAGATGGAAGGAGGTTGCAGCAGCAAGGTTGTCACTTAAAGATAAAGGAATAGGGAAAATACCTGGTTCATGTGTAATTGAAATTGAAGGAATGATCCATGAGTTCACCTCTTCTGATGAGTCACATCCTCAGATGGAGCTGATCTCTGAGATGCTACAAGAGATAAGCCATAAACTTTCGCTAGCTGGTTATGCTCCTCATTTGGATAAGGTTTTGCTGGATGTTGTTAATGAGGAGGGAAAGGAGTACCTTTTGAGCCGGCATAGCGAAAAAATGGCAGTTGCATTTGGTCTCATTAGCACGGGCAGAAAAATCCCAATCCGTGTCATTAAGAACCTTCGAATTTGCTCTGATTGTCATGCATTCATGAAGCTAGTGTCGGCAACTTATTGCCGAGAAATCACAGTCAGAGATAATAATCGGTTCCATCATTTTGTGAAGGGGAAATGTTCTTGCAGGGATTTCTGGTGACCGAATTGATTTTGACAGTGCTTATTAGAAGTACAGACAATATTCTGCAATGGTTTATAAGACAACAGTCATGCATGAAGTGGAAATGAATTTTGAACTCCAACAGGGGGAAAGCTGAAGAAGCCTGTGGCTCGGAATGGCTTGTCCCTAATAAATTTGCAGAGTACAATGGTTTACTCAACAACACTGATCTCTTTAATAAGCCTAGATGTTTTGATCCTACTTTTGCTGAGGTTCAAAGCCATTGAATGTTGCATATCATGGGACCAACTAGTAATTGTATGTTCTGATAACTTCACATAACTGCAGCAAATTCTATCAATTTATAAAGAAAAATAAAATGTAGAACTCATTTCAAGCATTAATTATTCAAAGCACCTGGTCTGTTCAATCAATACAATCTCAACAAAAAAATTTTAAATACACTTTCCAATACACTATTTGGTTCTCTTTCAAGCAACCTAAAACAGAACAAATTTTGCTGGACAATTGCAATGTGGCCCGCAAAATTGTAGTTGAAATTACTGATGATGTACACTTGTTATTATCCTTCAAGTATATGCTTCATATCGCACTTCTATCACTCCATAAACAAGTAAAAGATGTTCATTTCAGTTAACAGGAATCATCACACCCAAATAGGTTCTAATAATTTCTCATGTTGCAATTTAACAGAACCTAAAAAATTGCCAAAGAGAAGCTACTGTCATGAATCAAAGCCAGAGTAGACACCGCTATCCCTCAAAAGCCTCTTCTCTTCTTCCACGTAATTCTTTCCCCTGCTTGCCTGTCCAAGGTCTCTTTTCCTCTTCTCCTTCTGGGAGAACGATGCTTTCTTGTCCTTCTTATCCAATTGCAGATTTACCTGCACATGCAGAGGATCTTTTCCATGAGCAGCAGCTCTGGTTCGCTCTCGCTCTTCGAATGGCTCCTCTGTCGAATTATTTCTCTCATTTCCATCTTTTCCTGTTGACCATGACCAGTTTTGTTCTTTCTCCTCAACCCTAGGAGGAGGAACCTTCAGCACTGAAGGACCACCATGATATCCATGCTTGCTTAAAGCTTCATAGTCTATACCACCAACTTTCTTCTTTTTGATGTTGGCTGCAGATAACAGGGTAACAATGGCAAGTAATCAAAAGAAAACCATTTTAAAACAGTTCTTTGACATTGATGCTTTAAGAGAATAAATAGTAAGTCAAAGTGAAGTTGGAAGTAAAAACTTAAAGAGCCTAAATTTGCCGATGTGCTTCATGTAGTTGGGATGGGTTGATTACGGAAGGCAAATGGGACAGAAGCGCATAGTTTAGCTAAAAGAGTTGAAGAGATAGTGAGTCTGTGGTGTTAAAACAGAGCCAGAGGCTCAGATGATGGTCTGAGCCTCTGCTGGATGAACTATCGAATCCAATGGCTGTTGTTCAGTAAGACTGTAAAACTCCCGGATCTGCAGTTTTACAGGAATTTTGGCGACATAATGCAAAGGCATCCTATATGAAAACTGCTTCCCAAGTCCATTTTGGTCCAACCAACATTCCCCTTTATGATATAGTGCATCGTTCATAATGTTTTTCTTGTTTATTGCAACAGATATGACAATTACGAATAAGAGAAATTAATTATCACATTAACTTGGAGATTATATATTTTAATAAAAATTTCACTGAAGATTGTGAAAATATGATTGATTTTAGTGGCCTTAATATTGTAAATAATAACAAAATTTTTTATTTGCATTAGCAAAAAAGAAATTAAGGAGACTTTAAAGAAAATAAAGTACGGACCATGCATTAGCAAAAAGGAAATTAAGGAGACTTTAAAGAAAATAAAGTACGGAAAACTAGAAGAATCTGATAATACTCTAATAGAAGTGTGGAAATGTTTTGGAGATCTGAAAACTTTTGGCTTATGAAACTTTTTTTATATAATTTTAAAACTAAAAAGATGTCTATTGAGAGGAGAAATAATCTTTTGATTCTTATTTTTAAGAATAAAAGAGATGCACACAAGTGTGGAAATTATAGAGGAATTGAGTTAATGTGTCATACATTAAAGTTATGTAAGAGAGTAATTGAACATAGGTTACGGGGTGATACAAAAAATTTCTCAAATCAGTTTGGTTTCATGTCGGGCAAGTCTACAATGGAAGCTATATATTTATTGAGAGGTTTAATAGAAAAGTATAGAGTAAGGATGATCCATATATGATTTTTGTTGATGTAGAAAAAGCTTATGCATAAAGTTCTCTTGCTCTGGAGAGTTCTAAAAAAAGGTGTTGATATTGCTTATATTCAAGTCATCAAAGATAAGTATATAGAGTCATTACTTGTGTCCGAGCACAATAAGGACTAACCAAGTATTTTTCTATTCCAGTTGGCTAAATCAGGGAACGACTTTAAGCCCATATCTTTTTTACTTTAGTTATGGATGTTCTTACTAGAAGTTTACTAAAGAATGTAACTTGTTGTACGCTTTTGATGATGATATCCTTCTTGTGGATAACACTAGAGAGAGTTTAGAAATAACATGAATTATGGAGGTCAACTTTAGAGTCTGAAGGCTTCTGTTTTAGTAAATCTAAAATTGAATAAATGGCATTTAGTTTTAGTAATGGTAGATCTACTGGAGGGGTTGTGGCAATGGGTAATCAAGTCATTTAAAAAAGTGAACGTTTTAGATATCCCAGGTCTATTATTCAAAGTGATAGCAATATAAATGGAGATGTTATTAGTAGAATTCAAGTCGGATGGTTGAAGTTGAGGAATGCATCGAGCCAATTGTGTGATAGAAAAGTATCGCTTAAGCTTAATGAAAAATATTATAAGATAGTGGTGAGACTTGCAATGTTTTATGGCACATAATGTTGGCCTATAAGAGACAAGCTTAAAATTAAGGTAAGGTTGTTGAGATGAGAATGCTCAGGTGGATGAGTGGTTTTATACATGGAAACAAAATGTGAAATGAATATATCTGTGAAAGGTTTGGAGAACCTTAGTGGCAAACAAGATTAGAGAGTCGCCTTAGATTGTTTGATCACATTAAAAGTTGACCATTTGATGATCCCGTTAGGAGTGTAGATATTTTAGATTTGAATAATGCTAAGAAATGTAAAGGAAGATCTAAAAAGAATTGGGCATGTTTTCTAAAAAATTATCTTAATTTATTAAAATTCAATGAAAATAAAACACTCAATAGGATACAATGGAGAGAAAGGATTCACGGAGCCCACTTAGTAGGATAAACGCTTGTTGTAGAGAGAGAGAGAGAGAGAGAGAGCCGCTTCAAGGCTTCCATCTCGCCTCGAGATAGATATAAAGAGAGAGAGAGAGAGAGAGAGAATTTGTTGGTTTAACGAGATAGATATAAAGAGAGAGAGAGAGAGAGAGAATTTGTTGGTTTAAAACACTTGATGGTCTGGCGCTTGGAAAGAACCTCCTTCATTTGAATTTTCTGCTTTCTTAAAATTAAGAAGAAATGATTGTAACTTCTTATTTATTTATTTATTTATTATTTATTCTTTTTTTGGGAACAAATTTGTCGTAAAGGAGCACTGCTATATCTATATACAGCAGAGCGCAGGCAAAGAGCCGTTCACATATATCCATGCCTTTGCTATCGAACTCTACATTACTACGACTGGTATCATTGGCAGGCAACATAAAAAATGAGCAAACAAAGATGTAATGAAGAATTGAGTAAATATTAGGCGGTTAATAACATTTTAAGGAATTAGCATAAAATGATTATATTAAAAGAGGATGTAGAAGACGCATCTATTACAAATGACTTTGTAACCAACAACAATAATAAGAACCACTGATAAATTAATGTGATGGGAATGTAAAAGGAAAAAGTGTAGAAAAAAAGGCAAACTGTCTTGAAATGTAAGGCTAAAACACTTGCAACACTAAGTAGGAATGAATGCCAAACAAGGAATTTTAAGGTTCCACTAAAAATTCGGTCAAGGTCAATTATTTATTAACTACTTTTACTTAGCTTCAATACAACAATCTTTAAAAGTAACAAATACAAAAAATGACATGGCAAATCACAAAGAAGATAAACCAAATCCATTTGGAAGCATGAACTTAGGAGCAATTGCAGTTTAATCTAATAAATCAGAGAAGGATGTTTAACGCTACTCTTTAGATCCTCCTAATTGGTTAATCATACAAAATTAGGAATTCAAGCTTGTCCACAGTGCTGGTAATTTGTGGCAGGATCGTGCTATTCAAAGCTTAATTCTGCGAAGGTTAGAAAAGAACCACTATTTGAAACTTTAGAAACGAAGATAACTAGAATGACGCTGCAACAAAAATCTTGATGAGTGGATCTTCTTTTGGATCATCTTCTTGTTCTTCATTTCCTTGAGTTCACCTTTGAGAAGTGAATGAATTGAAGAGAGTTGTTTTGAGAGAGGAAGGAGGCTAAAGGGGGTCTATTTCCTATAGAAACTGAGGGGGGAGTTGGAAATATGGATTAAAGAGAAGTTTACCGGACAGTATAATTTCTTTCTAATTTACATAAAGAAATATTTGTATAAACCTCTTCATATTTGGGTTATTGGGTGAAAAAAATCAATAGTTTAAAATGTTGGCAAAAAGGAACAATTATTTACAGCATCTCACAAACAAGGCAATTAAATCTAACATCATAATGTAAATTCACAAAGTTAAATTCAAGGCTTAGGGTTTCTTGATGAGATGAAATGCCTAAATCATGCATAAAGTTGAATCCAAGGTTCAACAAATTTTAAATCTGGACAAATTTATTCTCCCTTAATACGCAATTAGAGATGAACAAAATCTGCTTAAGCTATATTGTATTCAATGTATCTCAGAAAACTTGCATAGAAGCTAAGAATATAAAAGTACCACACACACACACCACACACACACACACACACAATAATAGTAGAAATCGGATTGTGCTAGATTTGAAAAAAATGAATCATTAGATGAAATCAGATTGTGCTAGATTTGAAAAAAATGAATCATTAGATCAAACTTACTGCATATAATAGAGAATGTGAACAAGAAAATAAAAAATACTAAATAAGAAATCATATCTTATACTGATCGAAAAATGATTTACCCAAAATTTCACAAGGCTGAAATTTATTCAAACAAAATATAAATCAAGTGAAATGTTTTTATATGCCTAGAGCTCCACCCAATTTTCATAAAAAATAATAATAATAATAATAAAACCAAAATATTAGACTCATTAGTCATCAAATACCAAGAAGCCTATATGAAACAGGCACACAGGTCACACATAACTAAGGATCAACACCTTCAGCAAGCAGAGCTGTAAGGGACAGGCTAAGGGTCATCATAAGTTTAGCAAGTCACAACAGCTAGCTAAGGAATGAACCACGTTAGTCATAAGTCATGCAAAATTAACATAAAAAAGTGAAAATAACTGTTACTCAAAAACAGCCGTAGACAATAAAGTGAGAGATGAGAGAAATGGAAATTAAAAAATCTAAAAAATCCAATAATAACAGGGTATGCATCAATATGTTGGGCTCAAAATATTCGAATCTCATGAGTTATTCAGCTAATAATTATCAAGTAAATATGTATATGGATTTATAATAGAGAAATCCATGAATCATCACTAGAGTCAACTTTCCACTTTATTAAATGTCTCAAGTATCTACCATCAAAAGTAGAAATAAATTATCTTTAATAATTAACTTTAAAAATGAGATTAGTAAACAAATTTGAGAGTTAAGAGTAAATGATATATTGGATGCAAATCTTGAAGTAAATAGAGGGATAATGATCCATGGAGTAACTTATGATGCACAGTAATAAAAAATTGGAGTAATGCCAACACTTTCCAACATATAAGCATTTGAAGCATTATGTATAATTTTATATGGCCTTCCTTTCTAGAAGTTAATTTCTTGAAGCTTTTGTAGGAATACTTTCAAGATTTAGAAGTATCATTACCTTTATCACCTAATTTGAAGAACGCATATCTCTACTTCGAATCTTCAACAAACTTAGAATGGTCACCATTCCAAAGTAAACTTCCTACAAATACTTTCATGCAAACGATATGATACCACAAGTAATAAACATGCTAAAAAAACTAGTACGCTATTAATGAATACTAATGAATGCATTATAAATAATTAATAGAGAAATAAATAATAAAGAATAATTAAAATAAATAAGATATGCTTATATGGAAGAAACAATCTCTTTAAATAAATAAGAAAAATTAGCTTAAATATTTACAGTGATAAATTATGCACTTTAAGTTTGACCATATTGGAGTTCTAAATTTGAAGTTTTATTTTAGGTAATAATCATTAATAAATCTTTAGAAAGGTTGATGTAATTTGACTCTTTCTATAATATGTTTTTTTTTATGAATTTGTGAATCAAAAAATCAAGAACAAAAAACAAATTTGATTTTAGTCTGATCATTTATCACAGGAATAACATCAACAAATAGTTCATCAAGATTTGCGCTATTAAATTGTTAAATGTTACGCCGATGTCTAGCCTAAAGGAAGTTTTGTCTTTTGTACATTTAAGGGCAATTTAGTCTTTTATTATTATTATTGCGGGTATAAATAGATTTATTATGTTTAGGGTTAAATTTATGCATGAGATTTAGGGTTTTAATAAATGGATTTATTCTTGTGAGTCTTAGATTTAGGGTTTGGGAGACAATTTCTACCCATCGAACTACAGGAATTGGGAGAGATCACCTGCCTCTTCTATGTTACAACTCCATGTAGAAAAGCTACAGAAATATGGTATAAATAAATGAATGATGTCATAAACAAACGAAGACGTGGAAGTAAATATACCTTCTGACATGGTATCCATGATGTTTTTAGAATCTCCAAAATGTTTGCTGTTCTTTTTTCTATCAAGCTTATCATCGTCAGAATCTGAATCTGAAGAATCATCGGATGATGCAGATGCAACTTCTTTCCAAGAGGCTGGCCTTTTCATCTGTAACACGCTTAAAGCATGCACAAAATCTTGCAATAAAAGTACCTAATCCTGTAAAATAAATACAAAACGGGCATACATAACTAAGATGTGTGACATCATTGTATTCAAATTGCTAAAAAGTAGGTATGATCATAGGACCAACCATGCTATGAAGTAAATTATTAAATTAGTTTCAAAATACTCATGTACTATACTAAACAGTCAATAAATACTATATCCAGTATGACCCGAAGTTCGTGGATTCAAGTAATGAAATAACCTCTCTGCAATGAATCTTGATAACTTTGGCATACAAGTATAAAGATTCAATTGTTCTTGGAGTGGAAAAAACACGCCCAAAGTATTCAACCTTTATGATGAGACATTAAACTATGAGCTAAAATTCACTGAGGTTAATCTACAACATCATCTCAACTTCAAGAGGTACTTAATTATTATTACATTTTTAACGAATTTATGGCCTTTGATCAAGCAATATAAAAAGATGAATGATATGTAATATTCTTAACCGACAATATCACTCTTATTGAATTCTTTTTAAACCAAATCATTGAATTGTTCTAAACAAAATAATACATTCATGAAAGTCACAAATTTCATGAGATTTGAGGACTCGTAAACCATAAATTCATGAATCTTTAATCAGACTATAAGGACCGACTTCTAAGATACTATTAATCTTAATGAATTGCTGAATCAATGTGGAAGTCTACTAAATTAAGTAAGCTCTTCCTTTTCAAGTGTAACTTAAATTAAATTTGCCAATATTGATTTTCCGTTTGAATATTATATTATTGAAAAAAGGAAAGCTGATGAATGCAAATAAATGACAAAAAAGGATTGTAGCCCATCTGATTCAAGATGAGCATGAAATAATTTAAAAAAATAAGAAAAATAATTTTCTAAGTCAACTCTTTGAGTTGCAAAAACACTTGCTCCAAATAATGGTATAAATGATACACTCAAATAAAATATCATAAACCAATAATTATGAATCATCAAAAGTTGGATAGTGCTTCCAATAAGAGGTAATATCAGAGAGTTATTTAAAATAAATCGGTAGGGATTGGTGTTGCGTTTTAGTTGCAAAACACAAGTAAACTTGACTTAAATTTATATTAAAGAAAAGGATGAATAACTTGTAGAAGATGAATGTTGATATCAAGTAGAACATGGGTGTGCTTTCTAGTTTCAGTTTCCTTTTATTATTGTTAATTTTTTTAGCTCACTAGCATTGTCCATTGTTCACATAACATGAACGCGTAGAGAGTCCAAAATATAATATTTGAATTTAGAGTTATAACATGGTTTAAAGCGGTGGATGAAATTTATACTTGAATGTGATGATCATATTACATTCTGGAATTCTTTGAAGGTTTGAAGATTTTATGGAGATGTTATTAATTTTATGTCTGAAAGAGTTGCAAAAAAATATTCAGAGGGGTTTTTCTAGAGTTGGATGAGGAAATTCTGGAAATTCTTCTTTGAAGGTTTGAAAATTTTATGGAGATGTTATTAATTTTAGGTCTGAAAGAGTTGCAAAAAAATATTCAGAGGGGTCTTTCTAGAGTTGGATGAGGAAATTCTGGAAATTCTTGAAATAGATCGGACTAGGATTTTATTGAGAAGTGGTAGACTATTCAAATCTGTGAACTGCTTCTCATTTATATTTGAAATAAATGGTTGATGATTTTTAGGGATATTGCTTGTAAATGTTTTGTTGATTTGTATTCAGAAGGTCGTGCTGGAGAAAGCAAGGGGATAGAGAAAGTGAAAGGCGATTCTTCTTTAGCTATGATTTCACTAACCCTATTGTAAAGAGTATATTTGGGTGCTGTAAATTTCAAAGCGACTCTGTCTACAATCTAACCAATGTCATCAATAGAATTCAAAAACGCAAGAAGGAAGGTGTCATGTTTGATCACCAAAATCACCACTATTACAACGTCATGAAACTTCTGGATGAAAATGTGAATTGGGTGTGTTTTAAATTTTTTTCAATTTTAGACTCTTATAAAAACATTTTTTTTTTTGTAGAAGGGTAAGTTGTAGTGATTTATTATAAAGAACTTTAAAAACAACAACCACCTAAAGAACTTTGGAAGCAACAACCACAATAAAAACAAAGCATAAAAAAAGACATACACAAGATTTTTACATGGTTCGGCCCCCTGCCTGCGTCTACGCCTAGCCAACCCGGTTAGGATTCTCTATTAAAACAAAAACCGTGCCCTTCTGGGAGAGCACAAAAACCCTTACAAAAACACCCTTGTTGGTATCTTTATTCCCTGACCAAGTATTACAAGCCCAAGTACTTTCCTCCAACGGAAAAGTAATCACACACCAAACCTTTTACTTTTCACAAGCTCGATACAAAATCCTTACAGCTCAACACAAAGAAAAAGAAAAAGAAAATTCAAGAGATTTGCTCTCACAAAAATAATTATCCCTTGATCACACAACCCCCACAAAAATCAATTCAATCAACAATATCAAAAAAAAAAAAAAATTACTCACAATATTTAAAAGGATGACATGCAAGAGATATGAAATGATAATGGTAACTTATTATAGATGCAGTGGAGGTGGTGGTGATGACCAACACAACATTAATGCTCTTGGGATTTGCAGGTTCTGTCCTTGCTCCTTTTCAGCCTCCTACACAATTCTGGCCTCCTCATTCTACCACTTTAGCCTTTGCCACGCCTTTGGTCCCAAGCAGTCATCTACTATCGCCCTCCCCTGATCATCCAGGCCCCTCTGCTCCCGCCATTTCAAGGTTGTACACATCTGGCCGGTATATATTCAGTCGGGGGAGATTCATGAGTTACTTGAATTTAGAATAAATTGAATTATTTTTTGCTACAATATATAATTAATATTTCTATTTCAAATTCTACCCATCCAGACAGCCCGTTACGTGTATCATGATGCTCTGAATCTCTCCAAAAAGAAGATCCCGATCATGGTTCTAGATATGTGGTTCAGAAAATTTGAGGTAAAATCAGTTGATTTGAATTAGAATTATAATTTTAAGTTATTTCATTATACTAATAAATATTGTTTAATGTTTATTTTGTAGGGGATATTCTACTGGCTACCTGAGCATTAGCAAAACATCCGACATAATTTTGAAGATCGCGCCAAGCATCGATTAAGTGATATGTTCACAACGACCCATAAGAAGGGAGAGCGGTTGATATGGGTTATAAAGGAGATATGGGCAAAATTGGCCAAATTATGGGTCACTCAAAATATCAAAGAAAAAGAGATACAAACAAACAAAATCAAAAGATCGGATGAGGCAGGGGCACCACACTCCAAATTGGAGGATTGTTCCCGTACATAGAGCACTGGAGGAAGTTGGTAAGATTCACATACTCGACAATTCATTAAGACAATTATCTAAAACTTACTATTTTTTTTATATCCACGGGCTCAAAAGCTTGGTCAGCCACCCACTACTATTAATTTGCATATCCAAACGCACTGATGCTCGGAGACATAGCAGTGGGTCTCCGACTTATCCTAGCATGTCTAAGTAAAAAAATTTGATTTTCTACATTTTACTTACATTTTTAATGTAAAATGTTAATTATTCCTTGATTTTAATTATATAGAATGAGTACAAGCACATTCAAGACATGATGAGCCGGAGTTAAAGAGAGAGCCCAACAAACGCTAGTAGTAGTGGTAATCAATTTGCTTCTATGCAGTTTGACTATGAGATTTGGAGGAAGACTACTGGGAAGAAGGGAAAGATACACGACCAAGGTGCAATAGGTATTGTATTTCGGGTCGAGCACTCCCGATGTGCTCAAGATTCGAGGTCGTCGTCATCGGACCATGACGAACTTGTTCGACGAGCTCCATCAGCTACATGAGGGCAATAAAGAGTTGAGGCCATTATAGCACAAATGAAGCATGTTGTAGATCGTCGTGGCAAACGACCTCTGAGTTCAATGCATGAAAATGGCTATGATAAGGATGCCCCATAGGAATTTATGTTTTATATATTGTTTGATATTTGGCCATGATATTCTGCATTTATACTTTTTATTTACTTTTTACAAATTTTTTTTAGATTGACAATTTCGTAGATTTTGTATAATCTATAATAATTCTATTTATTTTCATTATCAATATATCGTTGTGTAATCTGTTGTGTGTTAGTGATGAGTAAATCTTGGATGAACACTTATATTATATTTGTGCAATCTGTTATATGCAGGTATACAAAATGTTACTGTTCTTTTATAATTTTTTTAATTTATTTTAAGTTTGTGTTGAATTTGCGTCTGATTGTTTCGACGCACATTAGTGTCAGCCAAATTTCGACATTAAGTCTGCGTCTGATAAAGTCAAACGATTTTTCCGTAGTCAGATTTTATGTTAACAAAAATCTTGTCGCAACATCCTAACAGTGGATATTTCGAACGCAAACATTAGCGTTGGCAATTCCCAAGAGTAATTGCCTTTGAGACAAGCATTTTTGTGTCGAACATTTTGTAGACATAAATCCGCCAGTAATAAAGCATTGTGTAAGATTTTTATTCTATTACAGGCGCAAATGTCTGACATTAATTTGCAAAATTCTTGTAGTGGTGGTGGTGTTGTTGCTGACCAACATAGCCCTAGTGCAGTGTGCGCACTAGTGTTCTGTGTGAAAGATCAAGAGAAGGTCCTCTTTGTTCTCTTATAATGAATGTTAATCTGAATAGGCCACCGAGGTGGTTTCTCTCCACTCCCACCAGAAGCATCTATAACAGAAACAATAAAATTGATAAATTAATACTAAGAATAAAATAATATAAGTGTAAGCAGTAAATAAGTACAATCACGACACAACAATCTAGAAGTATAAGTAAAAGCAGCAAAAGTGAAAGCAAGATGTCGAATGAAAACAAGAAAACCTCGTAACTAAGTGTAAGTACAACATATTAGGAGCAAAAGTAACAAAAGTAAAAGTCGGAACACGCAGAACAAGAAATGTGAAAAAGTAGAAAATTAATACTATAAGTAAAATTATAATGAAACTAAAACTTCAAAAGATATACCACTCTTAGTATGTTTCATCAAATGAGTTAGTCGATAATGAACTTAAAATTTCTTCATTCATATCATTATCTAACTCATAAATAATTTGAGTAACTTCTTCGTACCCCCGTGATATCCTCAAGAGTAATCATTTCTTCAATAGAATGGAGATGAATACGAAAATCTGACATTTCTTACTCTTGATGAATAGGTTAATAATACTTTGTATCTCAAAAATTCTTCTAGGTTTACTCTTTATAACCACGATCAAATCAATTTTATCTCTAGTTCTACCAGGATATCTAATAAGAAACTTGACTAGCTTGAATAAATTAATTGAATTTTGCATATCTTCTGTTCGTTTTAGCTTCGGTAAAATCATAAGGGTTTAATGTTCATGTATCTCAATTAAAAAGGTATCAAATCACTCGCAGTTGAACATATATACATTGCGCTCAACACAATCTTGACATCACAACTCCACTACTTGAAAAATGCCAAAGTAATTGGTCTTACTATCCGAGTGGGTGTTTCCTCTAACATAAACGTCGGGATTATATACCTTCTTCACTTTATATCAGAAACTCATGTGAAATATATAATTTTTCACATCAAATATCTAATAAGGCTTGATCCATAATTTGGCTGCTCTAATTATGAACATATTACAAATTTTAAAATATTATCATTTTAATTTGAGTGTGTAACTTATGTGTTGATGAATTGAAGAGTTACTTAAACGTAAATATAATTTGAATAATGTCAGAAATTCAACTTCAAATTTTTTTCTCATAACAAAGTCGTCTTCTATGTTTAAATTACTAACAAACAATTTGCTTGCATCATTGTTAGTTATAGGAGTAAGTATAAAATTCTGAGAAATAAAACAACAACAACAAGCCTTTATCCCACTAAGTGTGGTCAGCTACATGAATCATTTTTCTCCATTGCGTCCGATTGAGTGCATATCTTCATTTATTTCTAATAAATTAAAAAATATTTTTTATACAATATATCCAAGTCATACTAGGTCTACCTCTGCCTTTCTTAACATAAGTTGAATCTGAAACATCTACTCTCCTAACCGGATCATCAAATGGTCGACGTCTAATGTGACCAAACATTTAAGATGACCCTCTCTAATTTTTTGCACCAATGGACTAAACCAAACCTATCATGGATATATTCATTTCACATTTTGTCTCTAAGTGTAAGCCACATATCAACCTAAGCATTCTCATCTCGACAACACTTAATTTTATGCTTCTCTTTTAAAGGCCAACATTCAAAGCCATAGAGCATTGCAGGACTCACCACCATCACTCACCACCATCTTATAAATTTTTCTTCAATATAAGCGGTACTTTTCTATCACACAATAGGCCCAAAGCAGTCCTCCACTTCAACCAACCAAGTTGAACTCTACTAATAACATCCCCATCCATATCATCATCAATTTGAACAATAGACTTGAGATATCTAAGGCGTTCACACCTTTAATAATTTGATCATCCATAGTTACAACTCCATCAATAGAGCTACCGCTACTAAAATTACATTCTATGTATTTAGTCTTAGTTCTACTCAAATGAAAGGCTTTAGACTCCGATTTAAACCTCCATAATTCAAGTTTTCTTGAGCTTTTTCTCTAGTCTTATCCACAAGAAGGATATCATCAGTCAAAAACATACACCAAGGTACATCCTCCTGTACATGTCCAGTATGAGCATCCATAACTAAGGAAAAAAAGAAATGGGCTTAAACTTGATCCCTGATGTAATCGAATTGAAATAGAAAAATATTTGGTCAATCCTCCTGCTCGAACACAAGTAACAACTCTACTATACAAATTTTTAATGACTTGAATATAAGTCTTATCAATACTTTTCTTCTCTAAAACTCTTCAAAGGATATCTCTTGGAACCTAATCGTAAGCTTTTTCTAAAACAATAAAAATCATATAAAGATCCTCCTTATTCTCTCTAAACTTCTCCATCAAACCTCTCAATAAATGTATAGCTTCCATAGTAGACCTACCAGACATAAATCCAAATTGATTATGAGAAATCTTTGCAATAAGTCTTAACCTATGTTCAATTATTCTCTCTCGTAATTTTAAAGTATGACACATCAACTTAATTCCTCTATAATGTGCACACTCTTGGCATCCCCTTTATTCTTAAAAATGGGGACCAAAATATTCTTCCTCCACTCCTCAAGCATCTTTTTAGTTTTTAAAATAATATTAAAGAGTTTAGTAAGCCAAGAAATTCCCAACCTATATATTTCCACGCTTCAATTGGGATATCATCAGGTCCTACAAACTGTCCACCCTTTGTTTTCTTTAAAGTCTCATCAACTTCTTTTTCACTAATGTGAGGGTAAAATGAAAATTTTATTATTACTAACGATATTAAGATCGTTATGACTGATCGTATTTTGAAAAACTTTATTAAAAAATTTATAAAAATAACTCACCCATCTATGATAAATATCTTTTTCTAAGAAAAGTCTATTTTGATTTTCATCTTTAATACACTTTACTTAAGTTAAATTTTTATTTTTCTTTTATCTTTATTTGGCTAGTTTATACATATATTTTTCACCCTCTTTAATATCTAATGTATTATAAAGATCACTAAAAACAAAATTTTTAACGTCACAGATTGTTCTCTTATACTCCCTACGGGTCATTTTATATTTTTCCCAGTTCTCTAAGCCTTTACATTTAAACTAATTTTTATAACATAATTTCTGATATTTTATCTTTTCTTGTATATTATTAATCTACCACCAATTTTTATTATAGACACTTTTTCTTTTGATTCTCCAACTATAACTTTTGCCACTTTTTTAATAGAATGATAAGTTTTTTCTAAATCAATAAAATCATATGTAGATCCTCCTTATTCTCTTTGTACTTCTTCATCAAAACTCTCAATAAATGTATAGCTTCCATAGTAGACCTGCCCGACATAAATCCAAACTGATTATGAGAAAGCTTCATATTATGTCTTAGCATATGTTCAATTTCCCTCTCCCATAAACATATCAACTTAATTCCTCTATAATTTGCATTTTTGTGAATCCCCTCTATTCTTAAAAATGGGGACCAACTCTTCTTCCACTCCTCATGCCACTTTTTAGTTTTTAAAATAATATTAAACAATTTAGTAAGCCAAGAAACTCTCAAATCTCCTAAATATTTTCACACTTCAATTGTGACATCATCAAGTCCTTACAGACTTCCTACCCTTGATTTTTTTAAAGCTTCTTCAACTTCTTTTTTACTAATGTTACAGTAAAAACGAAACATTTTATTATTATTAAAGATTATAAGAACACTAAGTTCGGTCATATTTTCATAAACTTCATTAAAAAATTTATCAAAATAACTCATCCACATATGTTGAATATCTTTTTCTAAGAAAATTATATTTTGATTTTCGTCTTTAATATACTTGAGTTAAATCTTTAATTTTCTTTTTTCTTTATTTGGCTAGTTTATCATATATTTTTCGCCCTCTTTAGTAAATAATATATTAATACAGTAAAAACGAAACATTTTATTATTATTAAAGATTATAAGAACACTAAGTTCGGTCATATTTTCATAAACTTCATTAAAAAATTTATCAAAATAACTCATCCACATATGTTGAATATCTTTTTCTAAGAAAATTATATTTTGATTTTCGTCTTTAATATACTTGAGTTAAATCTTTAATTTTCTTTTTTCTTTATTTGGCTAGTTTATCATATATTTTTCGCCCTCTTTAGTAAATAATATATTAAGCTCACTAAAAACAAAATTTTTAGCGTCACGAATTGTTCTTTTAGACTCACTACGGGTGATTTTATATTTTTCTTAGTTCTCTAAGCATTTAAATTTAAACAAATTTTTATAACATAACTTTTTATATTTTATCTTTTTTTGCACATTATTATTCCACCACCAACTATTTTTTTTATAAAAACTTTTCCTTTTGATTCTCCAAGTACATCTTGCCACTTGTTTAATAGTGTTTGTTACTTTATCCCACATGAATTTATTTTTTCATTGACATCTCAAATCTTAAAACCTTGAAATTTACTCATAAAAATAATTTTATTTGTATCTTTTAGGTGTCCCATATAATTATATGACAATAATTCTTAGTACTCTTTATTTTACAACTTCATCTTAAAATTCATAACTAATAATCGAAGTTGAGTACTTAAATCCTCACTTGGAATGACCTTATAATTTTTACATTCTCAACGATCTCTTCTTCTCAACAACAACAACAAAACCTTTATCCCGAGTAGGGTCGACTACATGAATCCTTTTTCTCCATTGCGTCCTATTTAAGGTCACATTTTCATTTAATTCTAATAATATAAGATCGTTTTTTATACAATATGCCCAAGTCATCCTAAGTCTATCATGTGGGCTTAAAAATATGTATACAATAACTGTTACTTCTGTTCGAACAGAATTAGGATTGACCAAATATTTTCCTATTTTGTTTGCTTACATCAGAGAACGGCTTTAAGCCCATATCTTTTTGCTTTAGTTATGGAGAGCCTTACTGGACACTTACATGAGGATGTACCATGGTGTATGATTTTGGCTGATGATATCCTTCTCGTTGATAAAACGAGAGAAAAAACTTAAGAAAAAAATGAATTATGAAGGTCAACCTTGGAGTCTAAAGGCCTTCGTTTGAGTAGAACTAAAACT